ATCAGCGTGGTCGATTAAATATTACCAGGTGGATCTGGGGAAAATCAAAAATGAAAAGTTCTTCAGAAATGCTGAAAGGGACCTCAGACCTCAAAAATCTGACCGAAAGATTTCGCGAAACTAAGTGTCTGAAAACGTTCCTGAACATCCCATGACATGGTTCCAGTCTAATCTCGGGCAGCGTCTGTAGTGATCACCGATGAACAATTCTGACTACTAGTCCATGCTGTACCACGAATAATCAAAGTTTACTAGTGACAATGGAAAACTTCAAATCAGTATTTCTCGGAATAATCGACGAATCCAATAACTGAGCGAGCATCAGAATGCTTGTAGTGGTTACTTCCTGAAAACTAGGAGAACAACCGACAGTCGCTAATAACACGCAGCCATTATAAATGTCTACTTTACTGCGCTGTCACTCTTCGAATGTCGTTCTCAGTGGTTACCAGCTGTGGATGCCTTGTCGGAAGTGATTTACGCCTTATTGCTGCTGCTTTGTTATAATACTGTAATGCTGATTGCTAGGTACGAGTTGCTTCATGTAGGAGTCCTATATTACGGTATGTTACTGCGATATCAGGGTGATCGGCTGGAAGAGCTTTTACTCTGATTTTCAATGCTTTTTCAGTCGCTTACACCGAGGTCAAGTCATATCAAAAGATGAACTTGCTCGCATTCGTTCAAGTATTGGCGAATTCATCTCGATAAACTACAGTAATTAAAAGCATTATAATACTTGCATTATTCAGTAATGTTACCATTAAAATACTACGGTTACATTTCCATAACAACAGGTCGTAATTATAATCAGATGTTCGACTACTAAGCGTTTACTTCGAAAATTGTCCGTTTTTCCAGCTGGAGCTCTAGTCTTCTTCATTGATCTGGGATAATTTTCAACATTAATGAAAAAATTCAAATTATTAATTATTTTATTCCTAATACTGAGTGATAGATCAAGATCACAAAACCAAATATTTTCTTTATTTGGACAATTGATTGAAGCACTTACTGTACTGGGACCACGTGGAGAAACATCTTTACAGTGATCTTTCGAGGCATTTTACGACCATAACCCTGGACAAACTAGCTCATCATCACTAAATGGACAATCGAATTCTCCATCACACACTTGCTTTGGTGTTATACAAACTGAACTATTCATGCAATAGAAACGTTTATTAAGTTCCACTGGATACAGCTGTGTACAATTATTCGTTAAACGTTCATCAGTGCCACCAATACAATCAACTACACTATTACCAGCTTTTCGTATGGGTATACAAGATTTCTCCTGGTCATTATCAAATTTTGTTGGTGATCTTTCAGGACGAATACAATATGGTACAGTGGGACGAACACCATACAGTGACAAAAGCGGACTACCATAATAGTAATAAAAACAATTATAATCAACCACAGTGGTGGCAGGCGTTCTTTCTTCTTCGGTTTGATATAAATTCAACTGGGCGTAACTACTATTTTTCAGTAACCAGTACAATATCACGATTATCAATGTATACCCTAGAATATTGACACCCAATTACGTTAATGTAATTACTATTTCTTGTTTGTTTATTTAAACTTTATTTCATAAAAGTAAAAAGAAAAGTAAAAGAAAGCTAGTAGGATCCAGAATGGAATCGACTAAACATTGTGCCATTCCTGGAAGCCTAATGTTGAACCAAATAAGCAGTAAAAAGAGCAAGAATCCCACTAATGATCCGACAAAATATGTCAGTGTGGTTAACGGCAAGATTTTATCGGTTCGAGACAAGCTGGGACGATATGCAACTGAGTGGCAAGTTTTCATCCTCGCTTTATTTGTAATCTGCATTACTACAGACCTTGCTTTTAAAACATTCTAGATCTAATTAAAGTGGCCCTTTCGGACAAATTTGGTAATTAAAAACGTGATATTCACAAGTCTCTAGAGTGTAATCACCTTTTCGAAACCACAGAGAGTTATCTATTCGCTGGATGCCGTCGCTTCACCGTAATGCATAAAGCCTTGTAACACTTACCTTTCATCATACTTGATTTCTGGTTTTGCAACTGAATTTGAAACCAAATATGTTTTTTTATATATGAACCACAATGGAATGGAGCACTAGAATGAATTTTATTATACATTGTAAAGACTATTAAAACTCTTTTTTTGTTCGGAAAATCTTTTCGACTTTTTATACAAATTAAACTGGAAAATCAGTCATGTTACCATGGCAAATAGTATAAATTAAACCTATGAAAAGCTTTCAGAAAAGAATGTCAGTTCATAATACCAATAGTTAAATTTCTCAAAAAAGTCATGCTTGAAAAAAATATTAGAAAACTGACTATGATTGATGAAGATAAAAATGGATTACGTTTCCTTTCTTTCGGGATGCTTGCAAAACGTCAACCATTTTATTCATATCGTTGACTTAAGAATGTTTGGTATCGTGAGCCTGATATGGGAGGTGCTCTAGTGCTTAAATATTAACGCTTTATGAAAACTTGTTTACTTACCGTTTTAATGAAAACTAAATCCAAACAGACGAGCGGAAATGACAAAAGAATGATTTTTAACAAATTTACTAGTAGAGCATCGGGTACCAGTACATTATGTCGACGCATCCAAAAAGGTTTCTGTCAGAAAGAGAACAGAAGAGGCTTTTCTGCTATCTAGCAGTTTCTACAGAAACTTCCACAAGAGTTTCTTCTACGACAGAACCTTGTAGAGAAATGTTTTCTGAACCTTATGAGGTGTCTCCGAAGTGTACTCGACTTTAGTTGAGGTAGAATATGTTCTGAAAGGTGATGAAACCGAAGATTTGAAAACAGGTCAAAAACCACGATTAGATCCGTATTGTTTTAGAACGTCTCAGGCGTAAACTAAATTCCACTTAGACTTCAGAGACGTCTCATTAGGTTCAGAAAACATTTCTCTACAAGAGTCTGTCGGGAAAGAAGCTACTCGCGTTCTGAGAAATCTTTTTGGATGCGTCGACATAATATACAGGTATCTGAGAATTAGCGGCACCTTACGTTTCAAACAAAGGTTTTATCGAACAGAGTTTAAACTGCATGAAGTACGAAAAAGTTTTTGTGCTCTAGTTTGTCGTGTCGAAGTGCTTTCTACGCCAGCGAGAGATCGAACGAGAATTTTTCAACAGACCCGGACTCACCAGTTTAGACCAGTCGGTTGAAAAAACTCTTCAGCCGACATTAAACCGTTTGATCCACTCCGATTTCACCTCTGCTCTGTACTTCATTCCGACCCTTTTGCTTTCTGACAACATTTTGCTTTCGAATAGCATCACTTCCGTTAAAATATCCTTTTGCCCAATTATTTAAATACCCAATTCATTTTTGACCTCCTGCTGGTTTTCCACGCTTTTCTCATATTTTATTAACAATCAACTGGCCAACATCATTGCCAATAGTAGACAACAGTCTTTTATGTTTTTAGCCCTAAAGATCGAATTGGACTGTATTTATTTAAAAAATACAGAGGAAAACGCAAGTTTGAAAATATGAAATTGTTCAGTTTTTTATTTTTAGTATTTAATAATTAAACAGATTATTAGATCTAAATACATAATTTAATAGAGTAAACATTCCTCTTTCAAATAAGACGTAAACCATGAAGGGACATCGTAGTTTCTGAGAAAATTAA